ATAAGTGTATAACACTATAAGCCCAGTGTCTTTATAAAAGGTGCCCTAAACAATTTTTTAAATTGTATTTTTCATTGTTATTATTATTATTTTGTTTATAATAATATCACACAAATAATTTATTTAAGAAGACCTGATACAACTTACGGGTATATCACCATTATGGATGGAACGTTAGAAAAGGTAGGACACATAAATCCATTTAATTTATAGTTGTAAACAATAATAAACCAGAATTTTAATCAACTCTGAGCAAAGTTTACACTAACATTACTTTCAAAAATGTATGAAAACCTTATATTAAATTCTCAAGCTTTTTTACTCAGCTAAAATAATATTATCCACATAATACCAGAATAAAAAAAAATTTAAAAATACTAGAAAATGTCAAATGCTCATACTCAAAAATCTCTGAATTATTCGAATATTTGCCACATTTAGAAAATACCAACAAACATGTTCAGTGAAAATTTCAAATGTCTACGATTTTGTTTTAGAGAATTCCAAGATTATGAAACCGTTATTTCCGTCAATTTTCGTGTTTTCCCTAACATTTGTCCTAACTATTAAAAAAAGGTACAGCATACAAATGATTATTTCAGAATGCTATATTAGAATATCAGAGCGTAGAAAAGTTATTTATAAACATCAAAAAAAAAAATCGCTAATCATAGTAAAACCAATACATTACTCGCTGTGTTCAGAACTTAAAAAAAACTTTATATTAATACCCACAATAGTTCAAATTTACTGAACATAGATAAACATATGTGAAGGTATTAGAACAAACTTTTATTTGGGTAAAACTAAGACCCCCGAAAATGGGTTATCCCTGAGCCACCAACCAGTTTTATTAACCCGGCTCTGGTCAGTGAATACATACGAGTATACTTAATTTGCCATGATAGAATTTCTTCCTAATTTTTAAGTAGACTATTGAAGGTTCCGTAGAAGATGAAATTGCATAAGGAAACAATACCAAATATAGAATATAATTTACCACGCAAATCCTTATAAGAAACACGGAAATGAAAATTTATTGAGAGTCTATTTGTAGAATTAAAGTTTATAGAGAAGCGTAATAGAAATAGCCGTAGCCAACCAATCGAAAGATTGAAGACCAAAAGAAGAAGCAACCGTCACACGTAATAATTTATTATATAATATCCCTGACTTTTATCCCTCCAAAAATAGTGTTGCCCGGGGTGGATTTTATTTCACCTGTTATATACGCACGTAATATATTATTGTGTTTAACACCGAAATTTGTTCGACATTTTTAAATGTTCAATGGTATATAATATTCACCCCGGAGTGCGATTCGTCAATATCGGCCGTTTTTCGTTATTTGCCCGTAAGCCTAGAGCGGATTCGCTTGATTTATATCTAAGTAACGCTTGAAACCATTCGAAAATTGTATTCGTCGTTTTTTTAGGTAAATGGGGGGGGGGAATATATTAAATACATTTCCCAAAATATATAGGTACATATGCAAGAAATTCGACGGTTTTCAATTCTTAGGAAAATGATAAGTGAACCTATAATATGTGTAGCTTTTGTTAATTAAAATTAAGACAATATATAGACAATACTATGTTACATTATCAGTTACTTTTGGTAAAAATAATATTTCAGATACTATTTTTTGTTTTTTAAACCGACAGTAGTGAATAATCTGTGCTAACATTATTATTTCTCTATTGCCATCATTTATTGAATAATTCAAAATATGCAACTATATGTGAGGATGAGCGAGCTGACCCACTGATTTCCCTATCAATACAGCAATGAGTGAATATAGACTGTCTCACAAAGATATACCCCTTGAGATAATAAAAATAATTAAATTCTGTTTTTTTTTTATATATTACTCACAGGGAAGAGGACTACAAATAAATAATTATATTTGAATTAATTTTTTTTTTTATTAAATAAATTTAAAAAATAACTTTATTTTATTATTTTCTGAAAATTATAATGTATCACACGTTTCCGATAAATAACCTAACCGTGTCACGCGACAACATCGGTTAAACACGAATTAGTAGAATTTAAAATAGCTATTAATTAGAAACTATTCATGGGATAAAATTGTGTGATAAATCCAAATTATCCGAAAATAATAAACGTAAAAGGAGAGAGATTGAAAGAAAGACTGAAACAGAGGTGGTTGGAAGCAATTGAGAATGATATGAAAATAACCTGTGTGTATGTGAGGGTGAGATCAAGTCAAGTAGAAGTTTAGAACAAGGGTAGCTGACTTTAGTTTAGATGAAGGCGAGAAAGAAGAAGAAGAAGAAGAAGATAATAGAGTCTCACAAAGAGCATTTAGCCTTTCTCAAACTATAACTGTAATCCAGTCCTGCGTGATTATGTATCGTAGGGTTAGGTTACATAAAAGTATACAAAAATGACCAATCCGAGATTTGCTTTTTTTATTTTACATAATTAAATCAATTTGTTTTTTATTAAACGTTATGTTTTTTTTTCAGAATCATATTTATGGCGACGACGCAATTGATTGTCTGCAGACATTTTCTGCAGTTATCGAGTGGTTTGGATCATAATTTTGCTATTGCAATTTCCTACTTTTCCGGTGAATTTTTAATGAAAACGTCTGCGTAAAAGGTAAGACAACTATTATTATATAGCACCATGCATTTTATATTTTTATAATAATAATAATCCGAGTGTTCAATATTACAAACAATAAATTCGATACGAACGATGTGGACACACATGGAATATATACGCTACAGTGTGCACAACGAATATTAATTTTGGTACAGGTGCCTTTTGGTAATATTTTATAATAGTGCAGGTATGCATAAGCCGAAAAACATTCCCATTTACCGTGGTCGTATTCGAAACGGAAACGATTTAAGCGTTGTTTTAAATGACTATATAAGTCTTTGACGTTGTATTTTCACGATGTCAACATAGGACTGACGAAATTAAAAACAAATATTATCCAAAATATTATATCTGATCCTTGATAAATATTTGAATTAATATTCCGGATATTATTTTTGTCGAGTATTCAAACACACTCATTCCGATGACACGTTATATGTCGATAATAATGTAGTATTTCCGATGTACGATGGTAAAAATGGTATTTTTACAAAAACATGTATATACACGAATGTGTTATAAAAAAAAAAATATTTTTTAACGCTTTTGCACCATAATAATCTAATCGATTGGTATTATTTAGTAGTGACAATTAAAACAATTTGAATTATTGTAAACTTTAGCTACTATTAGTTATGCATTATTTACTAGACAAACATTTTTTTTTTTTTTTTTTTCAATAATGAACATAACAAAAGTTATTGTATTTCTCAGATCTTTGTGGGACACCATATATTGAGTATCGCGCATTTAATAATAGTACTGCTGGTAAAATAACATTAAATTAAAAATATGTATCGATTAATCTAGTTTTGAAAACACCGACTTAAATCCGATATACCTAGGGACTACTCGATAGTTAATATTTAAACGGATTAAAAAATCGCTCTATGGCGTCGTGTAATTATATAGAAATAATGAAATATAATATTGATACTAAACCGTTTCATATTATACTATAAAATCGCGCGGTTTACCAACACTGATGCGATATTGTATACCTACTTATACTATGGTGGCTGAAATTTGGCGGATTATTATAGTTTATTTGTACAGGTGTAACAATAGGTACTAGAGAATCTTATTCAAGAAAGAAAACATCTAGTTCGCAGCGATTCTATTGGCGAATAACTCAATTTCGATATAACTTTTTTTTTTTTTTGCCGTTTATATTACCGCTAAATAAAACATGATATAGACACAAATTATCAAAGCGAAATAATAAAGAAACAATTAAAGTTTTATAATAAGTTGATAAGAAGAAAATAAATATTGACAAAACTAGTATCCATCACGAAACATAAAAATAAATCACCAACTGGAACTACCCTTGAAAATATATTTTATTAGTTGAAAAAATTACAATATAATTAATAAAAAAAGCTGATACAAGGGATGGGTACAGCTACTGGTGAAGGTGGAAAGTTGGGAAGGTAGGATACATAAGGGTATTTTATTTATATCTGTAAGCAACGATAAACCATTGCTGACAAAAGACGATTCCGAGCGCAGTTCTGTAAAATTTGAAGTGCGTCATTTTTTTTTAACCTAACCTTCCTACGTCTTTTTCCAAATATTATGAAAACTAATTCAAAAATAAAAAAAAAGAACTGCATCATTAAAAACAAGATAAATAATTCAACAAAAAGGTCTCTTGTCGTTTTTCAATTGGAGCCATATTTTTACTAGAAAACGTAGTAGGTACTTATTTAAAATAACAAAATCGTGAAAAATCGTATTTTTTTCCCCGGTTAGTCGTTTTTATTTTAAATACCATCTCGAAAATCAAAAATTTACTTATGCATTTACCAAGTAGATAAAATGTATTTTCAAAAAAGATGCAACACTTAGACGTCGGAGCAAGTTTTCCAGGATAAAAGTGGTCTACAGTATATATAAAAAAAAGTAACATTGTAAAAACATTTAAAGCAAAAAAGTCGTTCGATGATTTTGGAAACTTTACACATCTAGATAAGTCTAATATAAGTATTGTTACCAATTTTCAATTCTCTACGTATATTTTTAATCGAATTACAGCAAAAAAACTCCCAAAAATTAAAATTCCTTAAAAGCTCAAAAGAGGCTCAAACATTTTTCGATATTACCGTAAGAAAGTAAATCAAAAAGGCAACAATTTCTTTTATTAAAAAAATGACATCGAAAACCAAAAAATGACATGCAATTGGTTAGCAACGGGTAAAATCGATGGAAATAAAAAATAATAATATTAATTAAATATAATAATTTGTATCTAATATACGATTAATTAATTCAATTTCACGAGTGCTCTCTTGTATACATATAGATATTTTTTGTATATAAGTAAAGAAAATGTTTAATTTTGTACATGTATGAGTAGGTGGTTTGCAATATATTCACTTTATATCTACGCCTAGCGGCTAGTATATAATAAACCACGGCGAGTTTGAATAATTCGTATTATTCGTTTTCGTTACCTCTCGATTAGGGGATGACAAGGGAAAAAACGAGTCTACAAACACCTAGTTATCTTGTCTATCCCGTAGCTTTCCAAAGCTTCGTTCAGAATCGATAATCTTTATGTAATCCTTCACCTAATATTTACACATACATATGTATACGTTTCCAACTTTCCACCTATAAACAGATCCATTTTTTAAATATTGTAACCGAAAAATAATATAACGCGTAATATAATATAATAATATCACGTCAAATGGTTTATTGGAGTGGAAAAAAAATAAATGAAACTCTAGGTATGTCATTATCATGCATAACAAAATATTTTATATAATAAATATACAGAGTGAATAAATTATACATATGTAAAATCAAATGTACATGAAAACATACAAATGTAAAAAAACATGTACATCAGTATATTATTTCATATTCGTATGAATTATTAAATTTTAGAACTATTATACCCATTGCGATAACTCGAAAAATATTAACTGTGTTCGGAAATTTTTCCTCATTTATGACAATTCTTTTAAGAAACAAGCTGCTCTAAAATATTACACTACCATTATTTTCAGGGTAACTTTTCTACCTACTTGTAATTTTCATTTGGCAATCTACAATAACAATTATTCGATAAATGTCGTTTAAGTGTTTATACGTTTTGGTTTTGACATTTTTTTATTTCCGTCAATTCGTTGACCAGATATTCCATTTTTAAGGAGAAGATTAGTGATGGACCATCATTTGTGTGATGTTTAAGTAGCGGTACACTACTTTCTCTATCCAAAATTGAAAGTGAAAATAATTCGACGGAAAATAATTTATTCACAATTTTTTTTTTTGTTTTTTTATTATAGTTTCTAATTTAAATTGTACAATTAACTTAAGCCCTTTTGTTCTCGGAACTACAGATTTATTCTCATTTTATAATATTAAAATAACCTGTACGGGATAGCATTATTCATTTTATTCCGCACCTATAGTAGAAATTCTTCTACTGATAAAATATTGTGTAATACAACGAAATATTATGGTTTTTTAATTATTATTATTTTGTTTTTATTTTAATACACGTGTTAAAAGTTATTAAAATAATACGTATCCAAATACCACGTGGATATTAATTAATTTATCGCTAATTTTTTTTTTCTTTTTAGCATTTTTATAGGAAAATACTTCCATTTTTTTATGTGCTATTTTGCAGTTAATTTTTGTACGCTATTCGCGTAAGCGCAAGTGCAGTATTTTATTTGAAAAATAAATATAAAAAGTTAACATCCGTTAGCGTACGCACGTATTTTTATCAGTTTTAAATGGAACGCCGTTGTGCAGTATTTACTGTGGGCTACTCCGATGATAATAATTAGTGTAGCTTTCACATATCTCATCTATTCACAATTTTTCGCCATCTATTATTTTTTAATTTAACCCATATTTTTTTTAAAAAAAATTCAAATTTTTTTATATTATAGTTGACAAATAAAAAATGTTTAGATTCCTATTAATCTCTTCCGGCAATATTTATATAATATGTATCAAAGAATCTTGACCCTATACAGTTTCTCGTTCACAACGAAACCTATCAAAAGCATATTTCAAACCTATTGAAATAAGTATGACCTGAATAGAAAATCGACTATAATTATTCAACGATAATATTTTGGGCAGATCAGGTTATAAAATACTCACAAAAATGTTTGAATTAATCTTAGTTTAACCTAGGTTGTACAGCGTTTTATCTACAATATGATACAGTTTTTAAAAATTCAATTTTTTCCTCCTTGGTATCTTAAATTCATCACTGCATCTATGGCACACAATATGTATGTATGAATATTTTACAGTACGCGTATCGAATGTGATATTATGTACTCGAATAAAAAAAAATTGTATTCTCATATATATATTTATGTATACACGTAGGTATAATAAACATTATCGTTGTAATATTTTCATATTTTATTGGGGGTCGTAAATCACGTACAAGCTCCCACCCCCGAAAAAAAATAGTTTTGGATAATTTTAAAGCTATAAATCTTATTGGCGCGTCCGAAAGAATTTAATAATATTTTTTAACAATATGTATATGTCGCATCCACTTGATGAAATTGTTCATTTCATGAAAAGTTATCCAGTTCATGAAATGGAAACCGTTTTTTTCTACTCCGTGAAATATATACAAATTTCATGAAGTGGATATTTTTTCATGAAATGGATATTAAAATTTCATGTCGTGTAGTTTTTTTCATCAAATGGCCATCCACATGGCGAAACAAAATATAGTATACATTTAATTCATATTATACTGTTATTGATTTGATTTTTTTTTTTTAATTTTAATTTATATATATAGGTTAGGTTGGACCGTATTATATTTTAAATTATGTTCGCGAGTTACGTGTTCGTTTTGTGTTTACCGTAATGAGCAATAAGTGTAATAAATATTATTTTTATTGCGAGAAGTAGTGTCAAATTAATGTATACTGCCGCCTATGGGCAAAATGCATTTTTCAGCTTTATGAATAACATCGGATGCTGGGTTACTATGTTGGTTCACGAAAAATTGCTACACCATAAATTCCCTAGCCCTGGGCAATCTCCCCTTCCTTTTCTTGTCCCCCTTTAACCTCGGCTCTAAAGAGAGGAGAGTCTATTACCCGTACATTTATTATCTCGGTATAACTATATAAACACACAGATAATGTAGAAATTTAAAGAGGAGAATATTTTTAGAAGCTGCTCTACGTCGTTTTTTTATACAAAAAAATTATCGCGCTACAAAAAATTATAGTCGTGATTTTGGGTTTTGCTTTTTTTTATGTTTAAGAAAATGCTGTAACTTTTTTTATTACAATTTTGTTTAAAACTAAGATCACGGTAACGCTCTCAAAAATATTCTCTTCTGAAAATGTCGTTATTTATTTGTATTTTTAAATTCCTATTTCAACTTAAATGTCACGATTTATGCTCCAAGTTATTAGAAGTAGGTAATTTCACCATGTTGCCCGTTAGTATATAAGACTAAAACAATGAATGTTTTCACACAGTCTTCTCTTAAGACGCACTTTGTATATATGTCTACGAAAATGTAAATTCGAAACGCTGTTGTAGTATACTACTATAATAATAATATTATAGTATAGTTTATAATTATTAATCATTCCGAAACCGTGTTCGGCAATAAAAGTTTTTAAATGAGCACGCGAGCCACCCTTTCAAAAATATCTGAACATTGTTTGCAGCAGAAGTAGAGAAATAATGTACGTGTCTTTAGAGGTCCATTGCGAGTTCGGTTATTAGCACGAAAACATAGCTTACGAGAAAATCAATATAACGGTCCGATTTTGACGATAATTTTGTAAGAAAGGGTCAAGACTCCTACAAACCTCATTGATCTTGGGTTTCCCTGTTTTTATTTTAAACTTCATAATATAATATTTTTTAAAATAACGTACATTTTAAGTTTTTTTTTTTTTGTGATAACTCTTTTATTATTCTTTATTATTTAAATAAAAATTCGCATTTAAATAAGTGTGATTTGAGAATAGGTTCTCAGAGCACAACAAGATTACATTCATTTTACTACACACAATATGTGTTATTTTATTTTATTTTTTTTTTTTTTTTTGTCAGTCTGTTAACAACTTTTTTACCAGAAATCGTACTCCAAATAAATAATAACACAGGAGCTTTAGTTTAGAAATTTTGATCTAGTTTTGCATTTTGATTTTTTAATTATTTCATAATAATTAAAAAAAAAAAAACGGAAAAAGTTTATATTTAGGAAAAACTAATAAATGTACAATAATGAATGTTTCATTATTTTTGAATTTGTTGGTTTTAGTTTTCTACCAGATATCATGTTCCAAATTTTAAAAGTAGCATTTTTTCTGAAACAATTTTATCTAGTTGATATATAAGGAACTCGTTTTGGAGTAATTTGTTATTTTCTTTAATACTGGGAAACTCAAGAAAAGAGGGAAAATTTACGTATTACGGATTTATTATTTTTTGATTTTGATTTTTTATTGTAGACTAATCGTAGAAACATACAATTTTCACAGAAAACTTATATTTATTAGTTTTTTCTAGACGTCGTTAAATTTTCAAAGTATTCTGATGATTTTTGAACTATTTATTATAGCCATTTGACATAAATTGATCGAAAAAAAAAATGATTAGTATAATGTTTTAATTTTTTTTTTTATTATCGCTTACAGTATTTCATTTGTTTATAATCTTCCTATGTTCAAATTTTGATGAAAATATTATCAATTACGGATTTCAAAACATGTAGGTACAACCAAACTATGCTTAGAACCGTTTTTCATAAACAATGATTTATCATTGTGTACAGATATAAATTGAATAACTCTCTGTATCCTATGTAACCTTTCCCAATGCACATCTTCAACAGTGATACACCCATCAGCTGTTTTAGCTCTATTTTGTATGTGTATTTACCACACAGAAATTTAAAGAAGAATAAGATATTTTATTTTGTAATTGCCTAAATTTGTTGACGATATTTTATTTATTATTCAGTTTTTTTAATTTTTTACAGCATTTTATAGGTATATTATTTCGACATTTTAGTACATCAAAATAATTTTTTTTGTGTGTTCGCAACCTTGATATAACATAATATTAATCGGTTGATATTTGTAGAGGACCGAAAATAAATACCGGTAAGGACTTGAATCAGTAGTGGTAACTATATCGAAAACTATAAAATATAAGTTTTATTTAGTTTCGGTTTAGGTGGACCGTATCTTTATTTTTCTCTCGCTCGCTGTACTGCAGGTATGAAAGTCTAATATATGTTTTATGAGTTCTATTGCTGCAGTATATATATATATATATAGATTTATACTTTGACCGATATTACGGAGTTTGGTTAGAAAGAAAAAAGTAAAAAAGTCACTATAACCGTCGAGGAAGTTTTACGAAGGCGGATGTCTCGAATTTTCAAAACTTTCCGTTCGATCCGTTGATCACACGGTGGTGATGTCAATCCAACAATCTAAACATAAATTGCGCGAACAAATAAAATCTATAAACGAGTTTACAAACAAAAAATGGAAAATAGTTTGTACACAATTGATGGAAACTATGTGTGTCGAATGATTCGATCAGGCATACGGTTTACAGTATGCAGAATGATAAGTTAAATAAGAAAACTTCGCTGCATTTTCATTAGTTTCACTGGGATCGGTTTGACTAAATTCAACCGATCATTAGATCATTAATATCTCATCTTCCTCTAAATTTTACATATATTCATTTACTAACTGCCTAAACCCGGGAAGTTAGACCTTTCAAGTTCAGCGAAAAGAATGTTAGAGGTTCAGTACCGGCTAGTTCAATGTTAGTGAAATCGTTCGGTCAGCGAGAGACTGATTCGATTTCCAATCCAGTCATCTAACTGTTAGTTTTTTTTTTTTTTTTACTGAATGAGAACTGCCACATCAGACTACGCTTATAAACTACGGCTGATAATAATAAATTAGTTATTATTGTTTTTATCGCACTGTTGACATTACGAGCGTTACGAATACTATGTCATTTATTAATCGATTGCAGTTCACAAAACGGTCATCGTCGAAAAACAAGATTCTTTCTACTATATTTCACAATCATATTGATTATTCTAATCATTATTTTTGCACAAAAACTATTTTTAAAAAATAAATATAAATGAATTATCCGATACATAATAATATCTCCGGTCACATATTCCTACATGTCCTAACAAATTAACAAAACACACAAAAACGTCCGTTTAATACAACGCGTGGATTGTCGACCGCTCAAGGAACAAATTATTAATCAGTTAATTAGATGGAGAAATTTCCCTTCGGCAGCAGATTAGTCGGAAGTCAAAATATTACCGCACTAGAATCTGTCGAAGTTGGAAATTTGGCCGTTCAAAAATTGAATTTTACGCATACACGAATTTTAGTAAAATTATAATTCACGGAAACCCGTAATGCATGTAATATATTGAAATTTGCTTCCCATAGACCCTTGGACGGCTCAGACGTTTTACTTTAATATTGTAATACTATACCTATGAACCTATAAATTCGTATGAATTTTCTTATTGATCACGAACCTAGCTAGCCGTTTTCCGCGAGAAATTCAAAACCATATATGTTACAAAACGTATACAAACGGCCGTTTATATGCGGAAACGGATGAAAATAATATTATTTCTCAATTATTTTAGATGAGGAGTATGACGAAATTAGTTATTCTATTATGTACGAGTTGACTTAACGATAGTATTAATGTTATTAATGTTTTGTATGCTGGTTTTTTTATAAAATTTAATTTTTAAAGCGAGTTATATGTATAATTTAAAATAAAATATTAATTCTGATATGATTTACCAACGGTAAGATCGTAATGATTTAATTATTTTAATTATTATATTATTATAAATCGTTCCATAAATATTTTATTCTACTTATTATATTATAACGTTCGTGTTAATTCAAAAATTAAAAATGTACAGAATGATTTGATGTCTAAACATATTCATAAAAACATGTCTTAGGTCCGTAAGACCATGTTGGGAGGGCTGCATATACTTGGCCCTAGAGGCGTTATTTCAGATTTTTAATAGGGATGCAAATATTTGAATCAAAGCAATTTTTTTCCCTGCCGGGTCATTTATATATCATGTTTATTTTGGGGAAATTAAAAAAAATGTTTATTACTTCATTCACTTGTATTCCTACCTAAATATTTTAACATACAAATACTATAGAAAAATATTTCTTAAAAAAAAAAATAAGGAATTAAATATTATTTTAATATCATACATCTATTCACTGTTAATTTTTTGACATTGTAATCATATTGATACCACAATAGTCCTTTAGTCGTAAGTCATGATAACAATTAACCATAGAAGCCCATGTCTCCCTCTTAGATCTCAAACAGCTGGACTCCGGTAGATGCGGCCTTTGGTAATAGTTGCATTCTACATTTTATCAACGACGGTGCAATTATATAACATTTGTATAACATTAAAAAACAATATAACTGCAAATTACAGTCTGAATCATTTAAATAACCCCCTGGTTGGCCGTAACCCATAAGTACTTTAATTATTACGGGCCTCATGACGAGTTGGACATTTTTTTCCAAAACATGCAATTATTTTTATAAAAATTGAAGAATGTTGACATTGAATTGAAGTCTGTGGGACAATGTGGGGTGCCAACTTCACATACATGCATCCTGCACCTTTCAACTTCACACCTATAGCAGCTAATGATCTACCCATGGTGCATAGTATATACTTTTTTTCATTAGAATACATCTCAAACGACGGACGAGGCTTACACATTATTATTATTAAATAATATATAGTGTCCGGTCGGATACTGTTACAGAAAGAATAATAAGAAACGGCACCGGATGCTGTGCCCACACACATACCTACACACACACACACACACACACACACTGCGAACGACCACGAGCCAGTTCAGTTGCAGAGGCGTTACTCGCTAAAATATATATACATATATATAATAATTATAAAAAAAAAATATGTGCGCTAAATGTTTCTTCTGTTACACGAACCAGCCGGGTCACAAAGTTGGGTCGGCTTTACAAATAACAAAAAAAAAGGTTACGTGGCTAAACGAAACGTTTTTATAATATTTGAAATTGCAATATACAAGTATATATATTGTTTCGGTCGAAAAACGATACCCCGTAATAACGAATCATATAATATTACTATGAGGAACTCACGAAAATAAAATACGAAACGAGTATAAATAATGATAAATAACTATTTACTCTATAGTATTTTATGTATTGAAAATGACCTTTATCGACATTTCACACGATATTTAATCTAATTAAGTATATGAATAAATTTAAAATACAAACGTGGGGGGCTGCGTGAAATTTGTCTTCTTCGTTTACTTGTGTTGTTCATTGAAATTAATGACTTGTGAACTTCAAAACTTAACTTTCAAATCCTTGCTATTTGGGTACTTTCTAAGTATTGACATTATAGTTTCATTGATTTCTGATAAGGTGAGTAAGCCAACTTCACAGAGATCTTAATGGAACTGAGGATTTTTGACAAGAAAATTCTAAGGAGAATATATTATGATGGTCCATGCTATGACTCACAAATAGAAGAAGGGTCAAATAGATTTAACGTAGAACTAAGATATACCTACCTGTCTGTATAATATTATAGTGTACCAATAAGACATAGTGGAAGAGATCGAAAATATAAGACTATTACAGTCCATGATGTTAGGGATGGATTCAATTGAAAAAAGAACCATTTGAAAGACTGGTGTGGTTTAACAAAGAATCTTGATGGGTAGAGGCACAGAAAGTTGGTGTCGAAAACCATAGCTGAAAAAAGATATTAAAAAATCGTTATTTTTCAAAATAATAGTGAACTTTAAATCCGTTTTAAAATACCGAACAGACTATAATTATATATTTGTGTCCGACGGTGAGTGAAATCTCTACATATTATTATATTACATATTACGTAATTATGATATGATGTGTGTTATTTTCTTGCCGTCGATAATCGCCAATTTTTAAAAGAAAAATAAACTGAACGCACATGACAATGAAAATGAATTTTGCGACCTAACTCATTGCGTTTTAAGTTAATCTAAGCGTAATGCGCGTATTCACGTATACACGCGTTTTAAAAGCGCATCGTACTGTTAAATCGATTCAACTGTACAACTACAAGATTTAAAAAAATGCGTGTAAACGGTTTAATGTGCATTTATATTTTTTCCAGGGATTTTCCATAGAAATAGAGAACATTCATATTATCGATAATTTGAAGTTACGAGACATAGATAATACCAATGTGTATAAACATTAGTAATGGAAAAAACTGGATTTTCGGAATCTGAAATCTAAAAAATGTCTCTTAAGTCATATAATGATTTTGATCACAGATACCTACCAAACAAAAATACAATTTTACCACGTCTCAAAAGGTCAATACTCGTATAAGTATTTTGTAAAAACTACAGGCTTCTACAATTATTTAACATTGATTAGGTACAATAATGTTATACCATGAAATCGTTACGCCGTAAATATTTGACCGTTTGTTCCTACGATTTTATCTCAATAATTATGAAAATCTGCATAGAAAATCAAAAAAATGACTTTCTCAAGTACCAACTAGGCAACTTTCGGAATTTTTGGTCCGAAATCCAAATTTTCGGATAATCCAGATTTATATCACATCAGTATTAAGCATATTATGGTCTTAAATGCATTTACTTATAGCGTAATAAGTTAAGTCGCATTTACGACTGCGTATAAACCACAATAATTTAAGATAATTTACAGGTTTAGCTCATAAGCAAACCTAAACTATGACCGGTAAACCTATTGCATAAATCAGCTGTTAAATATAAACGACTATAGTGCTACTGACGGAATCGCTTTATACGGCCATTAAAAAAGATAACGGTTTTAATTCCGGCACTCCGCTTGAGACTTATAACAAGTGAAAATTGTTGCCACTGGAACACAGAGGCACTATAGTATCTAGTTTAAACATCACCTCGATCTCTAATTTGTGTATTATCTCAAATTGTGATATAAACGTGGTAATAATCAACAAAAATTAAAATCGCAACGATACAATTAATTCGCTGTCGTGACCGAGTAACACGTAATAAATCACACACGTTCACTACCGTCGTTGCTAATAATAATATTTTCATAGATTTTATTTCGAGCAGATATTTGAACTGAAACAGAACCGGCAGAAAAGAGCCGGTACTAACGAATAGAAAACGATAGACGAGAACGTAAATACGTGCGCGAACATCGTTGACAGCAAGACGTTTTATTCCGTCGGGATGTAGCGGTCGTCGTAGTTATTTTGCGGACACCGGCATTTTTCCCTCTTGCTTTACAACGAAACAATATTGTGTAAATAATTCTCGTCTTCCAATAACCGATAATGAAATTACCGTATACACGTATATTTTATATACAGGATGTTTCTTTTCCATCGCGAACTGGTGATTTTGTATTTGTCCAAAAAAAAAAAAGTATAATTATTATAGAAACTATCTGGTCTTCAATCTTTCAAAATTGGTCGGCCGAAGTTCTCTTCATAATCATGCTTTCTAGTAAAATTCAAATGCTATAGAGCTCTCGATATACTTTAATTCTCATGGTCTCGAGAACTTTCGACAAATATTTCAAACCTTCGATATTCCTGTTCCAAGTAATAATATATTCTGTGTATATAGCATATACATATACCTTCGACAATCGAAGCGATAGTGTTTATTTAAATAGGTATTCAAATTATCCGGATTCGGTTGAATCGCCCGATTTACTCGCGTATAGCTGACATGATAATATTATATGTTAAAAATGTATCGCCTGTATGATAATTGTATTATTGAATGCACTTATGGGATATTATTAATATTATTATAATAAATGCAAATTGTATTTATACTGTATAGATATATAATTGATAGATACTGAAATTATTTATATTATATAATATTATTATGTTGACAGTCGACTAATATTTATGCATATATAGAATGGTATTCACTATTCTCATCAATAATAATATTATTTTCTGTATAGGTGCCTATATCATTATTATTGTTGTTATCTCGTGTGTAATTCACGTAGTAGAATTTCAAATCAATAATATCGCAATGTACAGAGTGTTGTTTTTATTTATCATGATTCGGCGATTTTCTCGGAGGATTTTTAAATAAATTTATTTTCAGTTGTTTTTTTTTTTTTTCAATCATTTTCGATCACGTTTACGAAGCAGGAGGGTCAAGTTAAGATTGATATAGAAAGGTTGGAATTCGACGTTTGTGATTCGGTGACTGTTAGAATAAATAGCAGAACATATTTTGTCTCACAGTTTAATCTGAATGGTCGGTTTTCAAATGACAATATTTGTTTACAAATTTATTATGTTTAACGCTAACTATACCGTTTGTGGGTTATTGTATAACAGTTGAAAACTTAGACCGGAGGAAGAGTAAATTAGGAGAGAGTATATTAAATTTTTAGACGTACACATGCACTTCCTATATACCTATACACCTCTGATCTAAATTTTAAACTGTTACTCAATAATTCTCATACGTTTTAAAATCCAATAATTGTTGTTCTATTTATCATATCAAGAATTTTACTATAATGTGCTCTTTTGAATTTGATTTGAAAAGGAGGAGAGGACAAATAAAAATCAAAAATTGATATGTGTTTATGGAAAAGAATTAGAATAAGAGTAAGTAACATATTTTAGAAAAGATAGAACACATTTATACAAAAACAAAAATAAAAATCAATTTTCCACGAAACCTTCATAAAGATGTATAGATAATATAATCACAGGCGCATGATAAACTTATCACCCTGTATAACATTATAATAATAATGTAATGTAAACTTCAATTTACGTGGAAATAATGTATCAGATGAAAACACGCGTAGGTTGGTCCCACACACCATGTCGAATCGATATACTAACTCGCATAGAAAATATACGGACAAAATAACAGGTCGAACTTTTGACCAGAAAATAATATATTATATTTAGGAAAAAAATTGAATGAACAGTAAAAAAAACTGTAATTCAAGAAACTATACATATCGGTTGTTTGTATAGAAAAAATTAAAAAAAAAAAAAACTAATAAACTTCGAGTCATACAAGTTATTCTAGATTCTGAATGTAACGAAAAAATATTATTTAGTTTTACTTAGGTATTGTTTTTTCTTGGTAAACATTTTATTGGTTTGTGAAAATTTCCCGATTTTTGCACATTGTACCCATAAAGATGTAAATTCTTAACTCGATGGTACTTAAATTTAATAATTTTTCTGGATTCCAAACAAAAAGAAAAAAACAAATTGGGAGGAAAAGCACCACCAATGCTATAACTTTGTTAGATTACCGAGATTTTAGAGAAATAATACTCACAATCTTTAATCATAGTATTGCAAGAAAAAAATTTTAATGCCATATTGTCTGAATGAATATCTAATGACATATTTGTAATAAAACTGAACGATTTTTACTACTTTCCAAAGTGTAAAACCACGATAACATTTTTTTTAGTTTACCGCAACGAAACCGTGTCTTACTAATTATTATGGGTGTATAATACCATGTAATAAAAATATACAACAGATATATTTTCTCCATTTTCAGAATAACGTTTCGGTCACTTAACCTCACCTTACCCGGTACACGTTTTCCGTCAGAAATTTCGGTTGGATATATTTTTTTCACAAATATTCGTGCGTTCTAAAAATCATCAACATCGTGCTCCCGAAAACTCTCAGACCTGACACGTAATTTTCGTTACTTTTTATTATTATTGTAAACGTCCATCACGCGCGTCCTCGTGTGGTATAACAATGTTTGTTTTATGGTTTTTGGAAGTGAGTAAGAGTAGTGTTTTCGTCGCGATAAAAGGACACGTTCTATATAATATAATGTTATATCGAATGTCAATATTCCTACCTCTGTATAGAATGACGTCCGAATCGTGTTTGTATGACGACGGCTAGTTGTCCGACGATACAAAAAAAAAACCCTCTGTGTAAAACATGGAATTCGATAAAAACCGCTGAGCGACGACGTGCAAAATATCCAAAAAAAATGTCACGAGTATGTTTTTTTATTTTTAGAGTCTGAACGCAGTAAGGAATGTATTGGTTTTACTTTAATGTGTATGTGTTTTTTTTTATATAACAACTTTTCTATCAGAAATATAAGACCAATGAAAAAACTAGCTTTTTATAGTATTATGGATCTAGTTGGTGCATTGGAAATGTATTTTTAATTTTCCATGAGATTTTCTTAATTATTTTAAAAAATTATAAAGAAATGTAGAAAAAACGGCAATATTTACGAAAAAAACGGTTTCATTATTTTTGATTTTATTTTTATGAAATAATTTGGTTAAAACATAATTGTAAAAACCTGAAATTTTCATTATCCTGATGATATTGTTAAACAAAGGAAGTGACTCCAGTATTATGTGAGGAAAACAAAAACATATTTATTTGTCAGCTATATACACGATTGAAACAAGTTCAATTATAGGAATGAACACTATTTTTAATAAAAGAAATATGACAATATTAAATGGAAAAATATGCGTTTTCCTTTGATTACCGATTTCCATCGCAAATTTAGTGTAAATATATATTTTATACTCGGTTAAGTTTATTTTAGTGCAAATTGATTTACAGATTATTATTATTTAATTAGTAATAGGTTTTCGTTTTTAAGTTTTATATTTTTTATTTTTATTTTTAACATGGACGATGAGGAGATAAACGATGGAGATCTTTTGCCCCTAGATACAACACTGTTCACGAGGTCTTATGCAATATTATTAGGTACATATCTTGTGATTTCGGTTAGATTTCGAATGCGTTGTGCAAGGTTTATAATTTCGAAAATGTAACTAAATAGATATTCAGGTATACCTGTATAATATAATTCTGCGTGTGTGTATGTGTTCAAGTACTAAGTACTGCCCGAAGTCAAATTTTCAACCCACTTGTATAATTTGCGAATTCTCAATATCGTACGCACGTACAGTTCGTGCAATCTGCAACGGCAGTGTCCAAAACAGTGGTGGGCAAACGTGAAGTTTGGACCAACTATATAATCTAATTATTATCTTATTAATATATTATTAATACGGCCCACAGACAACTTTATACATATAATATACATAATACGAAATTCGTGTGATAAACACGAATTATAATTATTATTATATTGTGGTACACCGTAAAAAACTTTTTTTTAGGGGAGGAATCCAGTGGGGATAGCGGCCACTGTTGTAGGCGAGAAGTTGAGAAGGTAGGATACCTAAGGTTATTTCATTTTTATCTGGAAGCAACGATAAACCATTGCTTGATGAAAGGCGATTCTGAACGCTGTTCGGCACTACATAATTTTTGCGATTTTCTTTTAAAATTGATTTTAAAACGCTTCATAAAAAATAAAATTCGTCCGATGATTTTATAAATTTTACCACGTTTAAATAAGTCCGATATAAGTATTATTACTAAGTTGCAAGTCTCTACGTGTATTTTAAACCAAATAACAGCAAAAAACTCCCAAAAATCAAAATTCCTTAAAAGCTCAAAAGTTTTTGTGATAATACCGTAAGAAAGTAAATCAAAAGGCAATAAAAACGTATCGTGCGCTTTTTCGATAAAATCATTTTTGCTGATAGAAAACATCGTCCGTGATTTTATAAAATAATGAAATTATGAAATTTTACGTTTTCCTACGTTTTTTCCCACTCAATTGCTTTTATTTAAAAAAGGCGTCGAAAACCAAAAATTATCCCATTTAAAATATAATATAGTCAACTTAAGCTTTCAGAATAGGTACTATACTTATACGTCGTAGCTAGTTTACTAGGAAAAATCGTGTCTACATACTAGAACAAAGAAAAAGAAGAAAAAAAAAATAAACATCTTAGTAAAACCAATAGCTCCCTCACTACGCTCGGAATTCAAAATTATGTTATCGCTTGAGTTGAGTATAAAAATTGGATAAGTTGGATACAGACAAAAAAAATATCAACGTAAAAATAAAACACGTCACAACAAAACCAATGAGCTTAAAATCTTAAAAAACATAATGAAAATTTGTTACAACTGTCTGTGTTGCCACGACTGTGGTGAGTATTACACGTGCTTATTTCGTTTATTGGGAATTATCGCGCTGGATGTCCACTAACAAATCACAATAATGTATATAAGATCCCCAGTATTATAATAATATATAACAATTTATACACAGTGTATACACTATTTTGAGTGATCAGCGATTACGTCGTTAGTTATCATTACGATAGCCGTTCAGAAAAAGCGTTTGACCTTTGAGTTTGTTTAGCTCTAGAGTGAAATGATATTAGGATTTTAGAAATGAAAAAAATTGTATACTGTTCACACAACGACAAGTTTGTTATCAAAGCGATTTTGACTATGCATATATAGCAATATTCGAATAATTATAACAATTTATAAAGCTATTTTACAGTGTATAGTATAATTAAATCAGGCGAATAATCGTTTTTTTTTTTTTTTTTACTTCTGAAAAATTACAAAAATTGACTCACTTTATTCCTATACCGCTACTCGAGATACCATTTCTTAAGTCTTCCTGGGTGTTGTGGGTAACATAGTATTGGTGGAAAATTGATCTTCGCGTATTGTATGCAGGTATTGCCGTTTGCAGTTTTGTTCGTGGACCCGTTTGCCAAAGAATATTGCACGTATTTGTAGAAAGGTTTTTCGTGTTTACTCAAATACGTACATAAGAATACCGTGTTTTGTTGACCGTTTGCGATATAGCGGTGAAAGTGTTTTTTTTCCATATGTACATATTTACACATAAGATATATATACACATATGACGTGTAACAATTTTCCAGACAACGGAAGAATCACCTCGTAGAAATTTAAAATCAATCGACATTTTGTCGGGTACTCATATTATAGAATAGCGTACATGTGCAAATGTTTATTTGTATTTCCAAAAATCAGCAAAAAGAAATTCGGTTTAGTCAAAAAATTGTATCCACAGAGTATCTATCGAATAATTATGACGTAACAAATCGCAAGCTTAGAACACCTATGAAAAGCTCAGAAATCACTTAAATATTTTTAAAATTTTAACACGTCTTAAAAAGAAAAAATACTCTCAGAATCTATAAAAAAAGCTGAAGTGTACGTGCGACTTGATTAAAACAATTCCTATTTGAAAGAACAACAAATGAACGGATACAAAATAATAATCATATAAACGACAGGTTATACGATGTTTGTAATTGAGTTATGGCCATCAATACCGATTAAATCAAAACCGATTTAATGACGTTATCTCACCTTACCTCACCCTCACGTTATCTTACAAATAGCTCTTGAGAGCGTTTTAAGCTCTATACGAATCATACGAATTATCAACATTAATTATAGTATTATGTTGTAGGATCCATTATTGTAGTATAAACAGTCACAGTAGCCCGCATGATTCGAACCCGAAATTATGAATTCAGCGATAGACCGGTCTCATTACACTGGATCCATCGCAAACATTACGTCCTGATTATACCACTTATATCTGTTTTCGTATCGGAAATAAAATAAACAAATACACAGTGAACATTATGAAAAATTTAAACAATTCTCGCTGAAAACGTTCCGGAATGCGTATTTGCATGCACCTAACAACCTAAAACATGTACAAATATACAGCAACGTATTCGACAATATTACGTATATATCCGCGTTCGTGACGTTTCCCGTACAAAATCACTTATTGAACGAGTTTACGAAAATCAAAAATACCTATCTCTCCCGTTTGTTGTCGAACACCGTAACTATGCACCGCATCATTAGCGTAGTAGCGAAAAAAAAGGTTTAAGGACATATTTTCGGTTTACGTTTAAAATGAAAATGAGAATAATAATATTCTTCTCCTGTTATGCCGTCACCAGGACACAAACAGTATTGTATTTTCTTTTTCCTGTACATCGACGTTGTTATTCGTATTCAACAGTGTATGTAGGTATTTACAATTTGAAAAAAAAGTTGAATTTTGGGTTTTCTCTTACCAAATAGTATTAACAATAATTTACATAATATTTATACACAAACGGTAGATAATATTATTTTTAACATTATTAATTTAGTTTATATCTGTTAAAATTGATTAACAATTAATAACTAAAAACGATTCGGTTTGAAGTGTTACCTATACATATTTTGAAAAGTAGTATAATACTTACGATTTTCGTCAAAATTTGATATTAAAATTCTTATATGAAAAAAAAATATATATACATTTAGACTCAACTATTCCTTGTTGACAATTAAACACAACTTATAATGAACTGTCTGTTAAATTTTCAAGCAATTTCCCCATTTTGTATACGTTCATTTACGGTTTTGCTCAATGTTTAAAAAAAATACTAGGAATATCAATACACAATTTTCTTAATTACCAACTAGGTTAAAAACTCAACATCATAGATCTTTTGTCATTTTTTGATTGGAGCAATATGTCTGGTAGAAAATACCGTGTAAACACATTTATAATAAAGAAATTATACGCCGAATGCCGTAAATTTATTTGTTTTCATGTCTTTTTCCGGCTATTTCTAATTATTATAAAAACTACTTTGAAAATTAAATTACTACTTACTTCGTGTTCAACTAGATCCAAAATTTACAAACAAGTTTTTTAGGCATATTTTGATTAAAGCAATATTTCTAGTATAAAATCAAGTTTATAAAAGCTAAAAACAATGAAACCCGAAACGCCGCTGCGTGTTTTAAATATTTTCTATTTTACCTACAATTTTATTTTCTATATTTTACAATTATTATGGAAACCCCTAGGGAAATCAAAAATATTATCTCTCTCTATGCACCAACTAGATAACATTTCTTTTCATTTGATATATCGGAGAATCTTTTCTTTCGAAAGTTATTTACAGACAGAAAAAAAAATAATAGTAAAATCAATAGATCCCATCGCTACGTTCCGAATCTAAAAAAACCGATACTTTGATCAGCCGCGTACGTTATTGTTTTCAGAGAGAATTTAAAACATACAATTTAGAACATAAAATAATTTCCCTTGTCGCCCAAAATAATAACTACCTCCTAAATGTCCTAACTGGATGCTACAAGATAGTTTACATACAGTTTTCGATTGATTAAAGATTTCCGGGAAAAAAATATTTACATCCATTAAAAAAAAAAAAAAAAAAAAACAAACGCATAGTTTAACCAATACATTTCATTATAATATCTAAATAACAACGAATGGATTGATTTTGTCTTGGCGAATACGAATAATTATCATCACATTCACGAGATGTGATACGTCACTGTTTTATGCGGTTCGGTGTGGGTAGTCTGGTGATAGGGATGCGCGAACGTGTTCTATTGAGCGGTTCAAGGGTATAGCTGTTAATGGTGTACGTTTTAATAAAACAAACCTATAGATATGTACACTGTACAAGTATGTACAGGTATATATATCTGTATTACAGACGTAAAAATGATTATACTTGAAAAATATAGGGTATAATATTATTATTTAGTCAATACATACTCTATACACGTATACTAAAATGTTTTATCTCGTCGTACTAATGGAGCACGCTATTAATGCGCATTTAGCAATAGCTGGCCGTTTGTGTGTATATAAACAACCTACGCGGTTTTTAACGTCCCGCCGCCGCTGGTTATATAGCCACCGTAATTAGTTTACTGTTACCGCCACTACCATCACAAACACCGCCACCGGTTCATTCTTAATTGGAATAAAACAGTGTTGTTTAATTAAATTATATTATACTCTTCACCATTATAGATACATATCTTGTAGACACACCCCGCGACCGCCGTCGATATTTTATATTTTTGATCTCTCGTGTCTCGTGACGTTCGTACTGTTCTTTTTTTTTCATCATTTTCGTCGCTATAATAATAATAATGTCTTTCACCTCCCCCTTCACCCACTAGACCCCGCACTTCGCAGCCGCCACCCACTGTTAAAGAGTTTGTTTGTTGGTTTTTCTTTTTTTTTTCTCTTTACCATCGTGAATCCTTCTCACGAAACACTCTTTATGTCGAGTATATATATATTGTAGTTATTTTTTTGTTATGTACTACAACTGAGGATTTCGAGTAGTAAGATATATGCTACACACGCGCGGATTCAACGCCACTAAACCATTTTCATATTACTTTGATAATTGTCGACATATTTTATTGCGCCTAATACGCGCTACACAGTCGCAAATCACTTTTTTGTCGTAGACGTTTCCCCCGTATCTTTTACTTTAAAGATACGCTGGCTTAAGTGCAGCTGTATATTATAAAACTGCATTGTCTTCTCTACGTAATCCATATGAACGAACCTCTGTATACAGTGTTGTTAAATTTCGAAAATTGATTTTAAATATATCTACAGTGTTCACAGTTTTACATCCATACAAAAATGTACTCTATTTTTTATAAACAATATTTTTCTAAGTTTTTTAAGTGCCATCGTACATTAGTATTAGTGGTAATGAGAAGGCGGGTGATAAGATTTTAAACCTTGAAATGGGAAATTTAAAAGTTTTTAAAAACTGTCAGATATTTCAAATATTGACAGAAAGTTTCCTTAAAAAAGTCAGAATCAATCAATTCATTCACACCAGATCACCAATGAGTCCTCCACTCAATTGTAAATATTTCGTCATGGATTTTTTCGCTCTAATAAACAATTTGTAAAATTTACCAATCTTAAACCTTAGATTTTTTTAATTTTCAGCTTTGAAACTGTGAACATGTATTTTGTATATAAATAAATAACCATAGCTGTTGAAACTTTAAATAAACAGACAATATTATGATACTCGTCAATAATTGGAGGGCGTTATATGAACTTGAAAACTCGTGTAAACAATAATTAAATTAACGTAGTACAAAATTAATTTTTTTTTTTTTTTTTAGATTTAAAGCGGAGCGAAGGATCTATTAGTTTTAAAATTTGTTTTGCATTTGTTAGTGTCTGTGAGCAACTTTTATACCAGAAATCTTGGTCAGTGGTTAAAAAAAAAAAGAGAAATGTAATAGTTTTTTTTTATATAATGGTTGTCAGAATGTTAATGCTTATTTTATTTTTAATGAAAATCGTAAATATTACGGCCTTTTTAATAAACAAACATTGCTCAGTACCGTTTTTCGTTAACAATATTTTATCATTGATTTACAAATCTGAATTCAATAATTGTATGTATTTCTATCTGCTCAACTTTGCATCTTAAATAGTGACACACTCATTAGCAGTTTTAATTTTAGATAGGTTTCAAAATTGTTCACGTTCAATACATTACATTGAATATAATACTATGATGTGTGATTTTTATGTTAATTTTACAATTATATTTATTTTTATTTTTTATTTTATATCTGTAAACAACATATCTCTTATAAATCTTTCTCTAATTTTCAAATGAAATACATTTTCCAAAAGGAAATTTTACCTGGTTAGTTTTTTAAGAAAGCTATTTTTTTATTTCTCAAGAGATTTTCATAAGAATTCGGAAAAATCGAGAAAAAAGTAGGAAAAATAGGAAAAATTATGTACATATATAAAAGAAACTTCGCTCTGAATCGATTTTAATAAACAATAATTTATCGTTGTGTACAGATATGTATTAAATACCCCTCTATATCATACTCAACCTAATTCTTACCAACAACAGTGGCCCACCCATGGTGTGGAGCATTTCCGTCTTGTTTTATTGTATGTCTGTAAAAAAAAATTCTGCCAGAAATCGTGTTTCAGTTAAAACCTTTATCTCCTTGTAGCATATTTTGATCAAGTTATTGTGGTGTTTTTATTATTCAATTTTTTTTATTCCTTGTTTCTTTCTTAATAATTGAAAAAACAAACAGTTTTTTTTTTTATAATTTTAGTGGATTTCTCAATTACCTTAGCAACAGACGAAAAATACTACCAATAGTATTCTGCTCAGAATCATTTTTTGTTAGCAACAGTGTATTTTTGTATATAGATTTAAATTAAATTACTTTATTACATAGCCTCCCTTCCAACTACCCTCCTAAGACATAGTGGCATATTCATCAGCTTTTTTCTTCTTTTGCATAGTTCAACATTTTTAGAGCTACAAGTTACGACGAGTACCCTTTACTCATTACCAACCGACTTATTATTCATATCGCTGCTATTTCCCGTTACCCACCACCACCACCACCACCGAAAAACGAGTGGAAAAGTCAAAACTCTTCTGCTCGGCGGCGGCGCGACAAATCATCAATCACGCACCGGAAATCTCCTTCGGCGAGTACGGGGGAGGAGAGAAGTGGGGAGGGATGGGGTGGTAGAAACGGGCTCGTATTTTGTACGACAACGTCGTCGTCTTAAACGGTTCGAAAGAGCGGTCGCTCATCAATCTTTCGCATTTCGTTTCCTCTGAATTTTTTTTTGCGTCCGTCACTCAGGGGTTTTTTTTCCGTCGAATTTTTTTTATATTCTTTCCTAATAATATTTTTACGTCTTATAGGTACACTTATACGTGCCTTATATCTGCAGACTATTTACACGTTCGACCACATCAGTATCTATATATACTATACTTACCGCCTTTAAACATATTACATATTATAATAGACAATATATAACATATATTGTCCATTATACATATATATTTTACGCAGCAGTTTGTTACAAGAAGAGACTTGTCTGAGGGGGGTGGGGGGGGGTAATAATAGTCGATTTAAGTTGATTAAACACGAAAACTCATTATTATTATATCACGTAGTGCGTATAACTAACGTAGTTCTACAGGAGTGCAAGCGGGTGCTGTAGCGCGAGCTCTGCAGGAAGATTCATTAATCTAAAGGATATGACGTTATAGTAATAATAATAATTTCATCGTCGTGTAGTGTTACCGTCGTCAATTTGCCGGAGAAAACGCTAAAAACTCACCGTTCATTATATAAATTTATAATATATATATATATATATATACAATTATGTTACTTTTCACGCTCGTCCCCGAGTTTACGCGCACACTGTATATTATATATTTCTCCCTTAAGTATATGTACGGTCGCATTGTAAATTACGAATTTACAACGGGACCCATACATACTGTGCGGGCCGTATAAAATTCATACGAATATAAGGATATATACCTTGTGTATATTTTAGCCGAGCCCCTTAAGAGCAGACGGGTGTATCGTGTATAGCAGTGCGTAGAACTAGGAAATTATAATAACTTCGTCGACGAGGACAAATTTTAAAATAACCGCGTCGTATGTAAATGTATAGGTATATTTATTATAATAATATATGCTTATACTCTGTATTATAGTGTGTATTATTCATGCTGTAATTTCGTTTTTAAATTTAAACTTAACGCTTTCGTTTTGACTGGGAAAAAACCCCCTCGCAACACTAAATTGGAAAACTGTCCGAAATTATTTATAAAAACGCGCGTAACCCATCATCGCTCTTATTTTTATATTTTTTGACGGTTTCTGAAATAAGAATAAACGATATTCGAACATCGGCAGTATTCTTTACGATTTCGGGCGTTGGCGAGTCACGACTCACCATAATTTGTAGTCTGCTACATTTTTAATGGAATATTGATTTCACGATGTACATTTGATTCGCCAGTAGTATGTCCGCAGTGTCGGATTTAGACCACGGTATCAGAAGATGATATTCGGGAATTCGTGACTACGGTATTACAAGATACAGGACGCTGGACCATTGAACGCAATTGAAAAATCAGCTTCTTTGCCTTTATTTTACTACCTATTTTATCCGATATTTTAATAACATGACGAGAATAACTTTATGCATTTTGGTGTTAGGTAAACAAATCGTAATTATAATTTATTAAAATAAATATTCATATCATTATTTATTTATAAACAATAAATGTCAAAAATAGATATTTTAATAAATTTCGATTTATGTAAACTTTTTAAAAACTGTCTTGAGATCGTTATTAATCACATATTATAGGAACACAGAGAAAACAGCCAGTGTCTCGACCACAGTCGTTGAAGAAAAGATCGGGACACTAGCTGTCTCCTCTGTGTTAATTTTGCGTTCATGTAGATAGGTAGTTTTATTTCACTATTTTGTCACTTTTTTCTTAAAGCGTTTCATACCGATCAATGTTGAGATTATGATTAGATTAGATGGATTCTACTGAAAAATAAGAATTTATGGACGATTTGTTTGTACTTTTAGGAATGCTATTAGTTCGATTTTTCTTCTCGCAAAGATTTTACTTTTTTTATACTTAAAATGTTTTAAAAACCACAAAACATCTTTACAACAGTATATTGATCGTGATCATAATTTTAAAATGCCAACATTCCCGCGCCCCTTGGACTTTAAAAATCAGGTACGGTCGAGGGTCAGTCAAATAGTTTATACTGCTTTCAGAAATATTTTTTATTTTGTTTTTAAATTTTAACGATCGAATCCAAAATGGATAGGTACGATACGGCGTAATAATATTAGCTGCTTGAGTATATATATAAAGGAGTGTGTGCGGTAGTCAAGGAGAATAACGCGTCGTTTCGGAATAATAGGATAGTTGGGAAAACAGACAGATGCGCAGTAGCGGTGGTGCGACTCTCGATGTGAATGACGGAAAAGCGTACAAATAGAAACGTGAAAGGTCGTTGTAAACCCGTCTTTGGACAATGATCTCTTGTATTTATCTCGTCCGTTTCATTCTGTATCACTACACTGGATATACATATTATACAGCTTCACGGTCGATCTCTGTAAAACAATTTTCCAAATTGAAATACTATTTTCGATTATTTCATGATATGATGCGTAAGCGGACGATTTTTTAATGCGTTCGCTAAACCTTGAATTAATTTAACAATAATCAGAAGAGCTCTTTCACTAGAGTCAAATCCCCCTCTTCTATTTTATTAAAATTATGTGTTCCTTAACGTTCAAATTGTTAAAATTTAAATAGTATATGTTCGAGTATGTTAATTTCAAAAAAAAAGTAAATGCGATTATTCGTGGTTGATTTCTAAGTGAATTTTTGAGTTCTTTCTAAAATATTTGAAAATGTCACTTTATATTATGTCTGCATAATATGTGAACTCCGCCACACTGTTACCCATCACCACCGAATTGAATAACCAACAATTTATTCTATTCTTTCAACAGCTAAATTCGCTTTGTCCCGAGTAACCGAATAGAGAAATCGTAAGACGATAATAATAAAAAAAGATTTAAGTGAAACATTCCATTTAATATGGAATTTTAAATATTTTGCAAGCTTGTTGTATGATTTGGATTAACTGAAAACCATATCTAAATAAAACTAATATACGAATTCATCGCTATTTTCAGAATCTAAAACTGAAGCTATGTACAAAAAAAAAATAAACATTATTTATATGAATAATGCTAAAACAATGTGAATTAAATATTCTGATATTCGTATTATATTCCGTGACCATGTAATATAAAACATATTATTTTTGTTGGTTTTAATTAATATAAAAGCTTCACGGTAAATACACTTAATATTTACATAATATTTATACAAAACAAAACTAAAAAATTCACATGGCCATTGATAAAATATATAGTCGAATTTTTTATTTTTTAGGGATTTTATTTAATCATAAGTACTTATTAAAATAATGATTAATGGACGAACATTTAGGGCCCCATAATTATAATTAAACGGGCCTATGCCGCGATCGTGAACGAACGGTACGACCCTACCGGAAAATAGTATAAATTAATCTCGACAGTAAAATTAACAGCTGCAGTTACCCTTATTATATGCTTTTAAATTCGAAAAAAATGTTTTTCTTGGTATTTACATTTAGTTGAGTTGTTTCTTTTTCATATTTTTTTTCCGACAATGACAATCTGCAGGTTTCGGTTGTTTAACTTTCAGATGAGTTTGAATTTACTTCGCGTGTCTTGTGGGTTAAACAAACGCCGTCACGAAAGTTCTCGCGTGTTCTGTGGGTAAGTATATATGTATCTTGTGTATTATAGGTACGCGTTTTCTCTAAATACCTTCACACTATGTTTACTGCAAGTGTATGTACATTTTCGTCAAACAGACAGTGAGCTGTTATTTTTCTCGTTATAAGTTTCACATATTATATCTGCTTACTTAATCTAATTAATAGTTAAAACTTTATCATTTTTGATAATGTTCGCAATAGTATGTATAGATAGGTACTTGGTTGATAATAACTGTTGTCTTTATAATAAAACACAATCTTGATGTTCAATAATGTCGAATTTTCTCTTCTGATATTAATAATGAACCATCAAATTTAGTGAACAACATCTTCGATAATTTATCTATGACACTTATATTTGTTCATTTCAAAAGGATTCGGAAATTGGATACGAAATCACACCCTATTTTAAATGAACTGAAAACTAAGACTGATATCAAGCTCATACGTAGATAAAAGATCGATTAAAGATGTACAGTTACAATATTTTTAGAATAGACCATAATTATTGTACAAATAAACCAATGATAGATGGCGGAGTCTTTTTAGTGTAAATAGTAAATTTAAAGTTAATCGCATTGATATACCATTTAATGATGTAAAACAATATCTATGTATAGATTAATCTTATAGCGGTAATGACCAACTAATTATTAGTGTATTTAATATTGCACCAGGTAGTCTTATAAAGACTTATTCTCACTATATTGTATCAATTCAATTTATTCTATCTAAATTTATTATCAAAAACACAAAATATGTACTGCTAGGTGATTTTAATCTATCTGGTGTATTTCCAACAATCAGGATTAAAACAACTGAATACTATCAAAAAAAAAAAAAAATAATCACAGTTACATTTAGTAATGTCCAACATACTAAATACATCAGTTTATTTTGCACATCAGGCTACTTTAGTTAATTTCGCTCATTATCATCCTGTTTTATGCATATCCTGTGTGAGTACAACTGGAGTGGCCAAACTCTAGTTTTAAATAACACTTCGAATAAGTTGCTAATTTACGATTTCAAAGAGTTGATTACGATTGAAAATGCTTACGTTAACTTCATGAACATCTAAGATTTGATTATTGTATCATAACCTCTTACGGGTGTGTTATTAAATAAATAAATAATAACTATCAAATTGGTCGAACCGAATAGTGCTTCAAAAAAAAAAAAAAAGAATGCTATACAAATGGAGAAAATACAAAATAAAAGTTCACTTTTGATGTATTTATATCTGTGAATACATTAATCGAATTTACATAATTCGATGGAAACCATTGTCTTAGATCGCCGTAGAAAAAAATGCACTTAGTGTTGAAATCCGGGTATTAATTATAATATTTTGTATAGAAATATCATTTTATTATTATTTTGTTCGCGTTTTTCGGGTGTGCATATCGGACGCGAAAAAGTTTATGGGGTGATGTTAAAAAAGAACATTATTATTATAATATAATATAATAATTGTATTATGGAAAATTTGCATTTTTGTTAAATCGTCCGGTTTAGGCGGGTGGTGATCCGCGTGGCTTTTGTATACTATTATATTATTATTATTATTATTATTATTATAAGCCCGAAATATTCACGTCAGTTTCAGTGAGTAGACCGTGGACGCCCGATTATTAAACGCTCGTCGCGGATAAGAAAAGAGGAATGGAGTAAATATTATTATTTTGTATACAAATAATTTCTCAGCGGCCGCCACCGCCCGAATTTTAACTGTGAAAATGATAAGATTTTTTATGTTTTTTTGTTTTCTTCACACGCATATACTCGTAAATAATACTCGCAAGTGCCTACTCTCGTATAATAATAATAATGTTACACACTGTAGTAGGTTTTTGTTGATATTATATAATATAATACACAAAACGGCTTCGGTTTTACCTACCTATATACACGCCATTTCGAGGGTACGTGCGCGTGTACAATTTTCTCGCTCATTTCCTCTGAGAGTCTGCAAGAAGTCGTTTTTTCTCCTCAGTTTTTTTTTCCATCTCTCGTAGCGGCTATTCAAATATTTCACTGCATATATATAATATACATATAATAATAATAATAATACGGTATATGCGAATATAATATTTGGATACGCGTCTCTATAACAAACAATATGTATATATGTATATTATGTATATTATAATACGAGCAACTGTCAACATATTCACTTTAACCGCCTGCTCCTGAAAAAAAAACCGACTGCCTCTCTGTAGGTAGGTACCTAGTTGTATATTCGGCAGTACTATCGGTTTTTATTCGCTCTGTCGAACTCACTCGACCCCCGAAAGTACCTTTTGCCCGGGTTGTTTTATATAATATATACGCGGGAAGGTAATAAATGTAGTCGAAATAATATGCTTATTATAATATGTAGTTGTTGAATAATATAGTGTATATCATATTTGAATATGAAATTACCGTACTATAATAATAACTATATTATCAACTGGCCTCCTTTAAACGAACTTCTATATAATCAAGAACTATGTGTAACTGCAAAGATTGACTCACACTGTACAATTTCACTATTAGAAAATATTATGAAAACGACTCACTCACATCCGCTGTCTCAGTCTAACTAACAGGTGAAGTAGACAAATTACCTTTTTTTAGAACATAATTGGCGTTTATGTTGAAAATAAAAGTTTAAACACAAATAAGCACATTTAAAGAGGAAAATATATTCAAAATCTATTCGTATTTTTTTTCTAAAAAATTGACATGGAAAAAATATGCAGCTATTAAAAATAATAACAACAAAAACTAACATAACTATAATTTTTCTGTATCATAGCTTTAAAAAAAAACTACGCTCAGCCTTCAAACATTTTCTCCTCTTTAAATTTTTTTTAATTGTGTATAATGTCTAATTTCAACATAATTTTGCCATGTTACCGTTAGTTAGACTAGAGCAGTCATTGTGGATGTGCCAATTCGTCATTCTCTTAACCCTCCCGGTAAATTTTTCAGAACTTTCACTACTTTTATTAACGCCTTTAATATTTTATTAAGGGAATACAGTTTCTCTAGTGAAATTTAACCCCCACTCGCGCCTCACTACCATCGGTCAAAACGAGCTCCATAACTATCCTCTGCCCACAAAACAGTAAACTTAAAATTATAGAATATTTCGTCTATGTATATTATAGAATGGTTCGACGGAAATTAAACATTTCAGCATATTAATAATTTATTTAAACCAAAATTTCATCTTTATATGGTATTTTTTTATATTACTTGCTATTTGATAATCAAAATTAAGTAGTTGTTGCACACCCTAAAGTAAAGACAACAAAAAATAAAGGGACTGTAAAATTTTAAAGCTACTTGTTTCTTAAATCGTTTGAATGTTAATTTTGAAAAAATAAAGTACTTTTCGAGACAATTTGTGTTACCCTCGCGTTATGTCGATCGCCCTGTATAATAAAATAATAAAATTAATAAATTTTAAATCGTGACTGGGCCACAGCGATAATAATTCGTATTAAATATGTATGAATTGTATTTCCGTATTATATATCAGTTGGGCGTGAATCGAATCGATCATCATCAGCACTTGAGATATTATTTTGGTAAGCTATATATATATATATATAGGAGATAATACGATATTTAAATTTCAATCGTGTCACGATGAATTATTCGAAATGGTATGATTTTTTTTTTTTACCGATCTCCGCAGTACTTGCTTTCAGTTTTGCGTGTGCAATAATATTGCTGTGGCGTTTTGTACAATGACATAATTAATTTAATATTAATTTATTATGTAATTATATTGTATGACTCTCAAAAAGTTATTATATAGTTT